CCAATGATAATGCGAAATCAATCAACAGGAATTTTGGACTCAGGACATACATTTTTCTTCGCGTGATCCCTTGAAAATAGGACGAAATGGAATTCAGAGTTCATACACTCATTATTTCGGGTTTCTAATTTTGGGATTTCTTGAAGACGATTCTTTTTCAGGATACTCGATCTTAATCTTTTTTGAGTTTTGCCCCGATGCTTTCGTAGAAGAAGTCAACAGCTGAAATATTGCGGACTCGCGACACGCTTTTCTTCGCATATTCCGTATATTTGAAATAGGATGAAAATCAATTCAGAATTGTTTTATTTGTCATTTCGTCTATGATTTTGGAACGTCTTGCAGAAATTCATTTCAGGATGTTCAATTCGTATCTCTCATCAGTTTTTTTTTTTTACACGGAATCTCTTCCTAAAACCAAGAAAGGTCAGTTTACTGCAGCTTTTACGTTCGTTGCATTGGAATTTGACCAAAATAATTTGGAATTTAATTGACGGACGCGATATGTACAGTATTTGCAATTCTATGCGAAAATTATTCCAATATAATTTCAGGTCAGAAGTTGTTTCCCTAGAATTCCCAGATGAATGTCTGAAACATTGTCGTAACCCCACGTGGAATTTTAATGTACTTGAAGCTTACTCAGATCATCAGATGGCATATTTTTGGAATTAGACTCTGGCGAGTGAACTCGAAACTATTCACGCCATGATGTATAGAAAATAAAGCGAAAATTAATTCGAAGGGGCAGTCGGAACACGTCGAAGAAGTCCGAGGGAATGTGCAATTTGTGGGAGTCAATCTATACCTTTTTTTTTCTTTTCTTTTTTCCTCGTCTATTATTGTTATATGTGCGCTCTCTTATCATTTCTTGGGGATCTTTTCTGTTTCCCGCAGCCCGGGGACATTCTGATCAGCCGGAAGGGCGGGATCGAAGTGCGAATCTCGGATTTCGGGCTGGCGAAGCGTGTGCTTGCCCCGTCGCAAGGCGTCGACCAGCGATTCGGTGAGATGATTAGCCTTCCCATCGACTACCCCCGGGGATTTTCCGTCCCCCGATTTTTCTTTTTCGCGTCAACCCCATCCTCGAATGCCGTGCCAGAAAATGTGACAGCTTCTTTATTTTTGTTTCTGAAACCTTTCCGGAATCAATGAATAAATCTCACGACCCATTGCGACACCTCCGAGCAAAAAAAAAAAAAAAGAAAAAGAAAGAAACAATAATATACAGGGTCTTTTTTTAATTATCTGCAAAGCATCTTATTGAACGTTGACCAAATCCATCTGGAATTGAATGGACGGATCCAATAAATGATCGCATTCGTAATCAAAAATCATATCTATATGAATAACTATTCAGTATCGAATTTATTTGCTACTGAAACATTTTTAGATCAACGAATAAATCTCCCGGTCCATGATTACGCACAATTCTGGTCTAAATTTGTGCTGAAAAAAATATAAATATAGTCGTCAAGAATTCGCTACCAAAAAAATCCCTGAATCAATGAATAAATCTTTGGACACTTCCGGATATATTTTGTTTTTTGCTCATTTGAAAACACTTTCTTTTGATTTTTTTTGCCAGGCATGCCGGATTTTGCAGCACCGGAAACGGTGACTGGAGGGAAATCTGGCGTATATTCTGACATGTGGTCACTCGGTGTCATCACTTACTTGTTACTTTCTGGAATTTCTCCATTCCGTGGACGAGACGACGTGGAAACCATGGACAAGATCAAATCGAAGCTGATTTCTTTCGAAGGAGGTAAATAAAAATAATTTATATCCGTGATAATGTATCATATAGAGACTTTCTCATGTATGATTGCTGGGTTTTATCACTCGTTTACATCGAAAGGCAACTGGAAGTATTTTTTCCCGTTTTTGCAGGACAAATTTCGCGCGATAAAAGCTTGGAAATTCAGGGAATTTCCTAAAACTTTTCCGAAAATAATATCGAAAAAATCAATTCTCCGAGAGCAATTTATTTCGAAGCAATGAAAAAATTTTTATTCGATACCCGGCGAACGTCAGAACCGAAAATTGAATCTGAATGTGTTTCTTTTGACCTTTGCCTTGTGCAAAAAAAAAAAAAATCGTGGAAATTTCTGGCAGGCTCATTTTTTTTAGAATTGCTCGCGAAGAAGTATCTACGTCAAGAAGCAGCGTGATCCGATTTAGATCGATGCATTCATGGCTTTTTCGGCACAATATTTCAGGTGCTTTTGATTCGCTTTCGGCGGATGCAAAGGATTTCCTGAGAAAGCTGCTCAAGTGGGAAATCGATGAGCGGATGAGCTGCAAAGAAGCATTGAAACACTCGTGGATCCACACGAAATTCACGAAACTCGACGTGTCGATTAGAACAGACCACCACAGGGAATACATTCACCACTACAGGTGAGCTAATAAATAATAGACTGGTGTCATCCTTTGCCTCCATAACTGAAAAGCAATCCCGACAGCTCATTTTTATACGGAAGATATCATCGACACTGACGAAGCGCAATACTTTCTTCACAATATTTAACTTCCAGGATGGTTTTGGAAGTGATGAGAAAGTACTGCATATAAATCAATTGAATGTTTCTTTAATGAATTCTGGATAACTTAATGGGATACTTTTTGATGCCGTCAATTTGATTTCCGTGACAGGTTTTCGTTTCTAAAATTTTATAGTGTACAAAACTTTAGACGCTACTGTGGAATACTTTTCAAAGCCCCCTTATCGATCATCAGATGATGATAAAACTTGGTTTAGCCTTGATGATTTACGTTTTCAAACGGAGGGCTTAAAAGAATATTCATTGGTTTACTGGGTCCGGAAAACTTTGCTGATCTCCAAATTTTTAGAATACTGTACCTGGATTTGAGGAATGAGAAACACATTTTTAGAATTTATAAATCGAGTTTTGATTTCCGCAGTTCGTTTGTCACATGGAGAAGAGAACATTTTCCTTTTCATTGAAAGTTCCTTCAAGTGAAATCACTGGATCGCGTTGTAAAATTTTTTTTATTCATAAGACAAAAATCTACCGCTGAAGTTCATACACCTCGAAATGAAAATAAAAAAAATCACGAGCCAAGCAATTTTCTGGCAAGGATTAAATGATTGCAAACTTCACATTCCAATCTATTGACAATTTCAATGTAAGCAAGAATCGACATTTATCCTGAAACATTTATTAGTGAATTTTTGAAGCAATTGCTCGCAAAAATGCAGCTGAGAAAAAATCATCACCGGGAGGAAGAAATCAGCAAAACTAAGATACTGTATATTCAAGGACGAGCAAGAAAAAATCAGATCCGATTAAAGTTCAAAACGAGGTTCCATTACAATTATGATGTCATTTTTTCCTGTGACCGTTTATCTTTCCTACCATGACGCAACTTTCTAAATTGCACAGCAGATATAAAAATAAAAAAAAAACAATCACGCGTATTTCGGATAATTTCCAAGTCTCATCTGACGACACTTCATGATTATTCATTTTCTCCGTTTCTTCTCTTGAATTTGGAAAAAAAGGGATTGGTATGCGAATGCTTCGTGCCGAACCTATTTCCGTCGCCGTCCACTAGAGGGTGCTTACACGGACCCATCAAGAATGGTTTACCCTCCGGGCATGAATTTCACTCCGCTGTCCTCGCCGGAAAGAACCATTCTTCCATCCACGTCATCGCATAAAAAGCGGTTCTTCGGGGACGACGAAGGCAGAGTCACTGACCTCATTGAAAACGACCAGGAAATTCCCGACTCCAACAGCATGTGAGATAAACCAGCAATCATTCAACGCAAAAAAAAAGAAATAATTTCTCAATTATATGGACGATTATCTGAAGCGACTTATCACGAAAAAAACTGCTCCTCAGTTCCCTGCGATCGCAAAAATTCAGATTCCAGAGAAAAATCCGCTGAAAATGGCTCACGATTTTTTTTTCGGACGAGGTTTTGTCTGGTTTCCGCTCGTAGTTGAGCGATAATTCGAAAAGAAAAGTTATTTAGAAAATGATATGATAATTTGATCATCTTTACTGAACTTTCTCGGCATTCCAGGAATTAGTGGGGGAAAATTTTTTCCGAAAAGTTTATTCAGTTGCACGAAATGTATGCGTCCCGAATTTCAGCACAGCGAATTTTCTTTATAATTCTCTGTCGATTTATGCAGAGTTTCCGAAAAAAAATCATGAACAAAGGTTTATGGGATGGTTGAAGATACATTTCTAGTAATTTTTAAAAAATGTTTTTTTCCTGAATACAGTGTTTCCAGCAACAAAAAGTTTGCACCAAATGGCAACTTATGGAGCAGAATTATGCTTACATCTTAAACTACAGACAGCACTTGCTGACACGAGGCACTTTTCGAGATGGTCGCAACTCCTGTGAGCATAAGAATGAAAAAGCACATTTCTTGCATCATTCAACCAAACATCTTAAACATCTTTAATTCGAAAAATTATTTTTACTGACTAAGTTCTAACAGGAGACCACAAAAAAAATCGCGAAGTGTGTCCCCAAAGTCTGAATATATTGACGATGCTCAAAGATAATGAGCGTAAAAACTATTGAATTCAGAAATATAGAAGGAAGGCATACATTAAAAAAAAAATATTGTGATCGCCGATTGCGACGGTACTTTGATGTTTGATTCACCGACATTAAAAAACGCGATTTTTTGTAATACTATATCTTCAAAGCTTCTCGGAAATCCCCTTTAATTATCAGCACCAATGTGAACCTACAGTATTTTGCTATTTCTTCTTTATCTTGAAACAGTGATGCCAAGCTGGAGGCAAATTAGGAAGTAATTTTTTCAACCTTTGAATTTTTTCTTTCAGCTTAAGGTTTGGCGCGACTTGCATCACATGTACGAAATTTTGAGGCATTACTTATGGATGAGGTTTATACCAATTTTCATGCACTTTCATTCAGTTAGATCTCGAGGAAAATTGTGAAAGTTCATCAGTATTAAAATCAAGCCTGAAACGGTGCATCAACAAACGAAGGGGTGATTTATTTCATCACTAAATATTTTCAGTCTTGGTATATCAAAGACAAGTATATGACTAGAATAAGAGAGACGATATGAAATATTTTCCTACTAGCCCTCGAAATTATTTCACGATAAAAAACTGCTCATTTTATCATTAAAATAGCGTGGTAAAAAAAAAAGGAAAATCCAAGTGCACGCGAAAAGCAGACATTCTTTCATAATATGCGCTGCTTTTCTTAGATATTCGTAATTGCGCAGATATATTTTTTATTCTTCTAACAAAGAACGAGGCGGCCTTGTTTTACTTCCGTTCCTATATGCTGGTCGTTAGGAATAGATGGAGAGGCTGCATAGAGGAGATCGATGTGGAGGAAAAGTTTTGTATTCCACAGCCTGTGGTTGCACAGCCAAGAGTTTGCAGGAGGGGTAAAACTTTGCAGCAGCTTTCGACTAAGCATGTTCGCACGTGTCATTAATGGCGGATATTTTGAACTAAACTGGTTCTCATTTCGAGAGATCTTCAGTTTCGTATTTTGACGAGGAAAGGGCTGAAAAACGCACGACGAGGGGGTTTTCTTCGAAATGCGTCGGAGCTCGTTCGACCGAGGAAATAATGGTCGCATCGAATCGTTTCAACCTCCATTTTACTCGGGTTCTCCCGAAAGTTCCCGCTCGCATTCTTGCGACCAGAATCAGCAAATTGAATTTATTCATTAAATTTTTCATTGCTGTAGATCATCCGTTGTATGAAAAAAGAAATCGCTTTAAAAATTGAGAACAATTCGTATAATTCACTGGGCTACGACCGCAAAATTCTTCTGATCACACGTTCTTCGAATTGTTGACACCGTGAAGTACTTATAAACGTAGGGAACATGTTTTTTTTAATCATATTTTACAAGAAATCATTCCCCGAGTATAGCCTTACATGTGTTTTAACTAAAACTGATTCGTGAGTCGAGCAAGGAAGAGACAGAGCAAGGAAGAAACATCGAAAGTTCTGTCAAATTCTAGCGGAAAGAATCAATTTGAAAACATTAATCGAAAATGTATTGTATTGGTCAATCATATGCTGGATAGGAAAAATTTGTTTTTAAAATCGGAAAAATTTCGTAACTAGCGGGACGACCGCAAACTTCTCGTAATCTTACTTTTCTTGAATCGTTGACCGTTATTATGAAGAACTTACGAAATGGTGACAAAATTTTTTCCGCGATTGCATTTTAAAACAAATTTTTATCTTCAAGTACCTGCGGCGTATTGGAAAAAAATTATCGTGAGTCGAGCGAGGAAGAAATACTGAAGTCTAGTTCAAACCTATAATTTTTGCGGGGATTTCGAGTTATTTATGATCTAATTTTTGTGTGCATCGAAATGAAGGTATCAAAACGGACCAGACACGTATTTGCTTCAACTTCGGGACGTGAATTTCCCATCTCGCCTCAGGCGGTACATGCAAGTTGCTTCGTCGAGAAGCCCGATGTTTGCCCTGAAGCTTCGACAGGATCCTTGGATTGGAAGTGTGAGTTATCGTATTCAAAAACGAAAAAAAATGCTTCATTTATATTCCAAAAATGCAAAAATAAAGCTGGACCAGGAAATCGTATTAGATCTCGACCGGTTTAGAAAAAAAGTCCCGAAGGTATTTTTGAAAGTGCAGACAAATATTTGCCACTTCATCCGTTGCGAGATAGCCAATGATCTGATCAATTATACATGTACAGCATATATTACCTCGATATTGAAAAATGTGGTTTAAATTTCAAGGTTAACAATTGCAAGTTGTGAAGCTCAAATGAAATGCCGTATTACTTATTTTTATACATTAGCAGCGAAGTCCAGCACGTGAAATTTTTGCAAAGATGTTTATTGTTCCCGAGCAAAGATTGAAAATATCAGGTCTGAAGGATAAAAAAATTTATTGTTTATTATTCCGGACCACTTGAAATACGCCAACACAAAGGATGTCAGGAAAGCAATTCGGTATACAATATATAGGTTAAGAGGATACTGAAAGATATCCTGGATCAACCCGACAAACTCTCACTACCATGTCTAAATCACAAAACGAGCGATTTAGAATTTGCATAGGGCCCCTAGGCCTGGGATGAAACCCCTCAATTAACAGAAGGAGGTATCTGAAATTCCATGCATATAGATGAAAGTCGGTTGCATATTAGGGTTTGTTGCTCATATATAACTTAGGAGAGTGAAGGGAAAAATAGTCTAGTTATGAAAAAACTCATTTTTGAAAATATTTGATTATAGCGCAGTCCTTTTTTTTTTTAGATCCCGCCAGGCCAATAACCGCATTTTTTAATGGATTGCTTAATACCAGATTTTTTTTATAGCAAAGCTATTTTACTGGTCCCAACGGCTTAATGTTAATACGATTTTTATGTACAGTATATAGCTAGCTGAAATGATCTGTTACACATATATACCAGGAGTGACAAAGCCAGCATTGCAAAAAAACGCAAATACTTCGGGTATTACCAATCACTATTAATATATGAAAGCTGCAGGACCAGGAAAGATACACCAAATTATCAAGCAGTTGAGCAGCTTGCTACTTATTTGAAAATGCAATTACTTGAGCAAAGGAAATAATGGATAAAACTTGGTTGAGGCTGAGCAAATTGAGTGAGCAAATATCTCACTCAATTTTTGCAATGAAAAAATTCCATGACATCTTACGATCGCGAAGGTTTTTACTCATGTTGTTTCAAGTAAAATGTTGCTCCACCTCTTACTTTTTAAGATATTCTTGATTCTACAAAATAAATTTTTTCCCTAAAGCTCTTTGCTGATAAAATCGGCGCAACTGCTACGAGTGGAAACAAAACAAAATTGTCCACTTGGGGCATACAATCAGTGAAATACCCAGTACTTGCAGCTGTTAAAAATATTTGAAGTTCATGCAGCAAAAATAAAGCATCTTTCTGATCTTTCAATAAAGTAAAATCCCTGGGTCAAAAATGAAACTCAGAGGAAAGCTTAAACATCCAATTTAAACCAATATTCTAAAATCAGTGAGCAGATGTACCAGGAGAGTGACAATCATGTAACATTCGGGAAAGCTTTTAGCATATTCTTGTTCAACAAGGAAACTAATATTTGCATGTCCAGCTTGAGAAAACCTGTCTTCCGCGATCGAGTTCCACCTCTCAAAGCCCGAAAGCAAAGCCCATCCATTTCCTTAAACGAATTTTCTTAAAATTGAGTTTTCCTTTGTTCCAATATGGTGAATGCAGGTAACAGTGAAAGAACGTCGAAGGTTCCAAGATTTGAACGACGAGGAGATTGACGACGAAAGACGTGGACAAAAGATGCGCGGATGCGGGATCCTCTTGGACAACAACAACGGATCCTCTGTGATCCCTCGTCGGATCCGTCTCGAAGTCGGCTGCGGAATGGGCGACTTGAAGAAGGAAGCTGAGCTATTCAGTGAACAGAAGTGGGACGGACACGTGAGTACATTTTTTTCACATGTTTAAAATATTATTGAATTGTTTCTATATGGGACAGGCGGCCCTTTGAAAAATATTGTTGGCAAAATATGACTGAAAAATGTTGAAAAAATTCGGTTGGTCGCTCTTTTCTTGAGTGAGTACTCTATAGACAATACCGGAAAATTAATTAAGGGAATAAAAATATAAACTTTTTATTCGTTTTTATACCTCTAGAAGTTTATAAAAGAGTTTCTAAAAAAAGGTGGTGTCTGAAAGTCACTGGAAAATTTTAATCCAGACATATGAAACCCGTTGGTTCATATTCAGTAATTGTGTTCATCAAAAAGTTAATGAACTACATTAAAAAAATACGAGAAATAACGCAATGCAAAATGCAAATGAAGAACTTGCAGTTTATTCCTCTCAGAGAAGAATAAAAACCAATTCCAAAAATTTCTCTGCTGCTGTTTTCTTCCAAGACTATATTATCAAATCTTTCTTCTGTTTTCCCGAAATTATTTCGAAGTAATCACCTGACCCTCTTATAAACACCTGTGTTCCCAACTGATGCCTCATTTCTACCGCAATACATTTGTTTTACATTCTTCATGGAGGAAATAATGAAATAATTTCATTCCAACAATTTTAAGAGCCTTTTATATCATCACTTAATACTTGTATGATTGTTTTTGGATTTTTTTAGCCCTCCCCGATTTTTATGCTAAAACCATATTCAGGAATTAATTGCAATAATGGTGTCGCCATTTCTCATGAGAACTTCTTATAGCATATTTTTTATGCATTCAAAAAATATTTGCCGTAATGGTTGGTTCTGTTTCAATGGATTAAAAAATGTTCGTAAGCGGTTCAACAGACTTTTGAGAAATCCCGTGTGTTAGTGTCTGAATGATACTTATTGGTGACACAACTAAAAATACGCTTGTGATTCAGGGAAGTAGAAAAAAAGTATTTATTTCGTCGTTTCAGATGCCATTTTTCCGTGAGAAGTTGCAAGCGACTTCGTTGGCTGACGACTCCAATGCTGATTTGACTTGTTTGGCAGTGGGTGAACCGACTCCAATCATACAATGGTTCAAGTAAATAACTTCACAACACTTTTCTCCTATTCCAAAAAAACCTTCAAGAAGTTTTCGAATTTTTAGTCAAAACTGTCTTGAAATGAACCTCTCATTGCCATATAATCAAAACAATTAATGCATGAAGGTTAGCCATTGTTTGAACGACGAACTTCTTATTTAAACTTTGTGGGGAACTCCTCTCCTAAATTTGAATTTTCAAACGATTTGAACTAGGTTTTTGCTTCAGAGATGAAATTAAATAAGTGAAAATAACCTCGTGTCATTTCGAAAACATTTTGCGAAAGAGGGAAGAGCGTCTCTGCAGCTTTATCATGAATTTAAGCTTTTTCAATTTGAAATATTTTAAATTTTTTCATCCACTAAATACCTTTTATTTTTGTTCATCAAATTACCTGAACGTTCATCTTCAGAGTTTTCGATATTTTTATGGTTTTTGAAAGGAAACCCCTCTCCGAAAAGAAAAAAATTCAATATTGATTAAACTCGACGAGGTCGTTAAAAAAATATTGGCATTAGAATACGCACATGAACTTTCGAGTTCATTTTGCGAGGCATGTGTATTTCGTCTATGGATATTTTTTCCGAAGATTTCCGCACAGACGAAAACTCATTTCTCCCTCCGTCTCTGTTTTCGTGATTTCCGCAGAAACGACATGATGATCTTGTCCGGGAAAAGAATCTCCATTCAGGAGGACGATCACGGCAGGTCCTTCCTCAGGTTTCGGCCAGCAAACAAAGAAGACACCGGTGTTTACAAAGTCGTGGCGAGGAACAAACACGGCCAGACTGTTTGCAAAGGCCGGTCAGTCTCTCTCTCTTTGTCCCGTCTTCTTTTTTCTTCGCCACTAGAGAATAATGAGCTTCATTTGCTGTTAATTGTGGGGGGAAAAATCACGCGATTCTAGTTTTTGCTTGCAATTCCTCCACCAGTTTTGACAATTGCAGGTCAGTCCAACGAAAGCCACCATCAGTTGTATGTGATTATAAAGGAATATTGTTCATCTCATGTCAAATGACGTGACTGACTGACGCTTTGTGATGGCTTTCCGAAAACATTCCTGTCATAATCGATTCAAAATGATTTATATCAACATTAAGTAATGTAAAATGCTCTAGAGATTTAGACGTACAGTATTATATTCGAAAATCGGTCTTCAGGTGTAATCCATACGAATTTTTTTCCTTTCGAGACCAATCAGTCAATGATCGTATGAATATTCAACTTTACTTGTCTCAGTTACCTTTCAATTTTTTTGAAAGACGTTTATGAATAAAATCAACATGATATTTATCATAAAACGATGTTGAAACGAGGCGAAACTAACTGCGCAATTTTTCGATGTACGCTGCATGTCAAGTTTATAAATTTAAATTGAATGTATTGTACTGTATAGTAGAATCTCTTTTCAACGAAATAATCGCTATCACCATAAGTCTTTCTCAGAGATCCCTGATGCTCAAAAGCCACAGTACGAAAAAAAGATACTTTAGGAAGAGTGTTTCGTTGAAACGAAGCTATTTCACTGTTGTACCGAGATTTTAAAGTAAAATATTCATGGTTGTTACTGGTAACCGCCGTTTGAGGACCATTTTGATACGTTTATAATTATCTGCATAATTTTATGAAGTCGAAAATCCATTGCAACAGTGATCGGAGATTGAATTTTTTGTGAAAACTGGATTTTTGCACGGCGAGAAAAAAATAGAATTTAAGAAAAATCATGAATGATGCGAGGAATATTTATTAGGCTTTTGGTTGCACATCGACCCGGTGTGATGGAAGGACCACTTCCGGGGGAAATTTCTGACACTGAGATCGTGCTGAAATGGGATCTTCCTTTGGATGATGGAAATTCGCCCATCATCTGCTATGGTTTGCAATATCGGCAAGCAGGTTTGTGGAAAACCCATCCATTCGTTTCTTATACCTATATGCATCCAAAGAGATGGCTCCGCGTACTGTATATACGCGGGTTCTAACAAAAGTTCTCGGGATAGGAATGAAAATGGCATATAATCCAGCTGAAAAAAAATTATTCTTTAGGGAAAACATATTCTTTTGGTACACAAAAATCAGCCCTGTGTGACCAATTTTTTTGAATGTTTTGCAAAATTCACCCTGGCAGAGTTTTGCAAGATATTCAAAAAAATGTGTCGCACAGGGCTGATTTTTGTGTATCGAAGAATATGCATTCCCTAACGAATAATTTTTTAAAGATGGTTCCGCGTACTGTATATACGAGGGTTCAAACAAAAGTTCTCGGGATAGGAATGAAAATGGCATATAATCCAGCTGAAAAAAAATTTATTCTTTAGGGAAAACATGTTCTTTTGGTACACAAAAATCAGCCCTTTGTGGCCAACTTTTTGGAATGTTATGAAAAATTTCTGGCTGAGTTTTGCAAGACATTCAACAAAATTTGTCACACAGGGCTGATTTTTGTCTACCAAATAATATGTTTTCCCTAAAGAATTTTTTTTTCAGCTCAATTATACGCCATTTTCATTTCGATTCCGAGAACTTTTGTTAGAACCGTCGTAAGTGGTTGGCTCATCGCCAAGAAAGTACATCTTCTTATTCCTCAGTGACCGCGAAAGTGAATTTCTGGTTCTTGACAGATCAAGTGGAATGGCAAGAAGTGGCCATGAACATCGACCACGAATTCTTTTGCATGCGAAACCTGATCCCGGTGACCTCTTACGAATTCAGACTGCTTGCGCAAAACGCTTTCGGCTGGAGTCCGCCGGGACTCACGTCTGGAATTTTCACAACAAAGGCCGAAGGTGATCATCAGAGACCAGTTCAAAATCTTCCAATTTTTCTAGGGCCATCTTGAAAAAAAAAGCTTTGAATTTTGAAAGCTTGATCGTTAAAGAGTCAAAGCCTTGAAGCAGGACATGAGGTCAAAACAATTTAGCAAGTTTTTGAGTCAGAATGAAGAACATTCAATGACATTTTTTACATCAACGGAGCTTCGTCTATCCGAAAGAAAAAAAATCGGATCGAATTATTTGTGATTTTTTTTCAAGAATTCCAGGAAGTAGCAGGAAACCTGATGGGACACAGTTTTCCGATCAAAAGGAGAGAAAAGTTTAAAATAACTATACTGTAATTGAACATCCATAACTCAAACCTCCCTGATTATTATTATTTTTTAGTCCCCGTCAGAATTCCCTTCAAAACAATGCGATAAAAATATCCCTGACTGGAAGCCTTTTCCTCTCAAACCCACCTAACTCTAATTTTCTGAGGCCGTTCAGCAAGTATTTTCTTGCCACAACAAAGAAAAGCACAATTGAAAAAAATGTAACTTGATGTTTTTTGAAAGGAAGTGAAAGACTAATTGGGCAAATGAACCCTTCCTTACAAGTTCAGCATCGTCCTTTCAACTCATTTAAAAATCAATTCAAGGCCCAGAATATCACCATTTTACAATTTCCAGCAATTCTTCTACCTTTCCCACAACGAAAATGCTTGTTTTCCTGACTCAAAACCGCAATAACTCGAAACCTCGGTAAGTCAACGTTTATTTCCTGGTCCTTCCAAATGTAGCTTATATATTAGATAGGTTTATCGCACGGTACTGTATATCGCACATTTCGACACACAGTCGCCATTTTAAAAACTCTTGACATTTATTTGTACTGTTCCTCGAAAAATTCAAAATTTCTTCTGGATACGTTTGAATAGCAACACTTTCGTCGTACAATGATGACAAAATTTAGGTCAACTACTTCTGCCCCAGCTCTTTTTTGGTTAAGGTCTTTGTAATTAGTGAAGGAAGGCTCGTCGTCGTCGTCATTATACCTCAGTACCAAGGTTCGTTTCAGGTGCCCCAAAGGTCAAAGTGTCTCGGGCAATGAAGCACCTGCAGCTTCTCACAGAGAAGGGCTTTGAGATTGAGGACGAGAACAAACGACCCCCTCTGGATTACTCCATTGAAGAGAATCCTGTGCCATTTTCCGAAGGGGACCCGAAGGAGAAGTATCACTTTATTGCCGAATTGGACAGGTGAGTAATTCGCATATAAATTGGCTAATATCGGGCTGACATAAGGTGTGCTCCCATTAGTCCGCTTTATTAGAAATTCAGAGGGCTTCATCTTGAGAAAAAATTGCACGTGAATGCATTTCAAAGCTTTCACTTTTTTTCCAGTTAGGACTGAGAATTCTAGACCATGGTACCATTCGAGGTGATAAAAATCAGATTACCAGCCAAACTTGAACTTTTAAACATTTTCAGGCTGTATAAATGCTGTCTAAATATTTCAACGATGCAATAAATATTCCCAGTGACGTATTTTCACGTTTATAATAACCCTGTTAAAGGTCTGATCTCACCAATTTGCATGGCAATGTTTTAAACATTGAAGCCAAACTTGAATTTTTAAACATTTGCAGGCTGTATAAATGTTGTCTAAATATTTCAACAATGCAATAAATATTCCCAGTGACGTATTTTCACGTTTATAATAACCCTGTTAAAGGTCTGATCTCACCAATTTGCATGCCAATGTTGTTAAACGTTGAACACTGCGATAAAATGTGCATTTTAGAAGCTCAGGCAACAAAAAAAAAATGTTCGGGCAGAATTGGAAGAATATCTTTTGAGTAATGGATGCTTGAGGAAGAAAGCATCCAAGTCAGCGAGGTTTTTAATGCATCGTTTCCTATGGAATTCATTCATAAACTTGAGAAAAGTTAAATATTTTTGACTTCAAAAGGTTCCAAGTCTAATTGATTTGCGATAAACAAATTCTACCCTAGTACGTCGCCAAGTTTTCTTCAATTTTTGAGGCGCGGAAAGAAAAGACGAGTGTCTTTCAAATAATCTCATGAGTTCATAGAAATACGGTATTCAAAAACGATTGCGAACACAACTGAATAATGATTCCACGAATTTTCAGCCCATCATTGCTAAAAAAAATAAAGGAAGAGTCCAGTTGTGAAATAATGTACAAGTATATATACACAGTACATTACTGTATATATATATATATATATATATATATAGCGATTAAAAAGGGCATTTTCTTCTCGAAAAATAAAGGGGTCGGTTCTCGGTGATCGTGAAGGCCTTCGAACCCGTCAAGGAGCAGTTCTTCGTGGCCAAGGTGATCTCCACAGAGGGACTGGACAAATTGGAATGGGCCCAGCGAGAGTACTTCCACCTAAGCAGACTGCGCCACGAGCGACTGGCCATCATGCACGAGGCCTATCGTCTGGACAAAGGACTCGTCCTCATGTTGGACAAGCTTCAGGGCTACGACGTCCTCACATTCCTCTCACAGAAACCAGAGTACACCGAAGAGCTCGTGGCGAACATCGTCAAACAGGTCTGTTCGTAAAGCCAGTATTTTATGTACAGCAGGTTCACACATTAAAAAAAAGTTAAATAAAAAAATCAGATTTTGATGGCTGGTTTAGTTTATTGCTGCATATAATAAAAAAAATACGGTCGATGCGACTCAAGGATGAATTACAGGAAATGTGAACTTTCTCCATCATCTTGCACCGGAGATTATATCCTTCATTCGTCATCAGAATACGGCTTTTTGAACTTTTGAGACGGATTTTAGCACTCGATTCAATATTTGTGGAAATCGCAATTCAGTTTCCTCCGGTGATGCCTTAGGTTCCTCGTAGCATCATGACTTTGCGATTTCCTCATTAAATTTTCCTTTTCGGGTACTGTGATGTGAGCTATGAAACTTTTAATGCATCTTTCATGCATCAGAGGAAATTATCAACGTATTAAAATTCCGAAAAGAGCGGAAATCGTCTAAAAAAAATAGTTGCACTCTAAAAAATCCAAAAGACGCCATCAAATAGCTTTTTTTCTCTAATACAGATATCCATCTCTAGATTATTTGTGTGCCAATAAAATTCCAACAATGTGAACTTTCTTCAAATTTTGTTTATGAAGCTATGTTTTCGTGGTGCTTCTTCGGGCTGATACGGTGAAATTATGCAGCTTGAAATAAAGTTACTAAAGCTCATTGTGAAAGAAGCATTTTTTTTGGACGCAGAAATGCTATTTTATTGTGAATCTCACCCGTTCTTCAATGATTGAGCTAGATTTTAAAATTTAAAATTTATTATATTTTATACACAGATGACGAACGAATAACTGAAACGAAAATGTATCACACTGCTAGATTTAAATTACTTTATTCCGTTGTAAATGGATTCAATGCATATTCTTTGAGGCATTCACTGCCTCACAAAACATTAAAAATTAGACAGAGTCCCACAATAGAATTTAAAAAAAATTTTTGAAAAAAAAGAGCCGAAAGTTACCCAGAATTTCTTGGAATTCGCATCTCAATTCTCCTCGCTTCCTCAGATTTTCGATGCTGTGCAATATTTGCTGACCTTTCCTTACCACGTAGACCTATAAGTCGGTCTGTTGCAGCATTACCGGTCATAGTCTGCTAACCTGCAGGCAGACCAACTGAAACCGTTACGGGTTGTTCAATGGTCTGTCCCAAACGGTCAAGAAACCCTGGGTTCCTTGGAGTACATGGGTGAGTTCATTCAAATTATCTGACGAAAATGATTTCCCCGTACTCGCAGATGTGTTTTATAGTCGAGAGATACTCGTAATAAAATTTTAATCCATGATGATATGCATGAAAATAATCAAAATTAATCCGGATCCTTCCTTTTATTGTCGTCAGTGTCATGAAATTGACCAATGGGAAGGAATTGGCGATGAATTATATGGAGAACACAATGAAAATTGCAGCTTATTTCTAATTCTGGCTGTTTTAAAATTTAGAACTATTGTTCAGATTGCTAAAATGGAAATTTTCTTCGAATGACATTTTATTTTTACTCAACAATTACTGTATACGTACGACGTTCGTCGTTATCAAAGTTTTCCATTTTTATGAACCTTTTTTGAAGACTGGACAACTTTTATCAATACAGCAAATGGCGTATGGAAAATGAATCACCGAATACATATATGAAGCATGATTTTTTTCGTTACACAATTTCAATGTAGATATAAGCGCGAATAAAATTTATTATAATTTTCTATATAGGAATGGAAGTGTGTGGACCAAATACTGGATTTTTTTTGCTGTTTGCCCTCAATTTTGTTTTTTTAAACATTTATGCACATTTCTCCCATTTTTTCACCCTAGAAAAACAACTTTGGGCGAAGGTAATTTAAATTTTTGTCAATTTCTTTCTTCCAAGAATTTATATTTCTCTTCACTCAGTCGACCTCAACTTGAAATTTCAATGTCAACTCGTCCCTATATCGCGAAAAGTGTCAAGAAAGGTGATGTGTCCGAGAACCCTCGACGATTTTTTAAAGATTATCGAGTCCGAAATACATCTTCAGACACTTTCTAGGCCAAATAAGAGAGAAGAAGAATCAGAAGGCGTTGCCCAAATTAAATTTCACCACCTGAGAATCCCGCCGATTTTCTTCGTGCCGTCGAAGTGATAAATCTGCATAAAATCAACAATTTCTGAAGGAGGAAGTTTATCAGTGATTTTTTTTATTGTTTTTATTATAATTCCTTCAATAACCGTTTTTGGGAAACCCGGGGATTTCGAACCTTCCTTCCTGCAGTCCGTCGGTCGCGTGCAAACAGGTTCTCGATCACCTGGAATCATCTCGGCGGGAGGTTTTTCCCCCCGGCGTCCGTGATGCCAATCTTTGCCTGGACACACTTTCCCTGGTGCCAATCGCACGATTTCATCTCGCTTCTCCGGCATTGGAAACCTTCGTCCTGTATTAAAGGGTGGACCTCGAAAAAAATTCCTGACGTTTCCTTTTTTTTTTTACAACTTAGATGATGGTTCAGTGTTATTACAGACCACCTTGTTCGTGTACCTCTTGACCAAGTACCCGACGAGGTACTTACCCTGCCTTTACAGGACTTCAACTCTCTGAAACCACGCCTTCCATGTTTATTTAGGGATGTTATTGACCCGAGTTAAGGGCCTTATTATGGTTTAAAGTTGCAGTGGAATTCAGAATATTTGGGCTGATTGCCTTTACGCGAGTAATCATGTTGCCTGGATACTTTTAGAATAAATTGTAGAAAAGTTTTATTCTTCTAGTAACAATTAGTTAACATAAAATCACAGAACTATTTTTGAAATTTCCCTGGGACATTATTAGGACATAAAATTCGGATAATTTAGTTGTTCCGAAGCTCAGGTATACATTACAAGGCATAAAATAGGCTGATTTCATCATTTTTTTTTAAAGTTGGTTGAAATTCGGTGCCACTTGGTCGCATGCCCGATCAATCCGAGCCAGGACAATCCATTTCAAATTACTGTAATCTAATAGCAGGCAATTCTTCTCTCGCAGCTGATCTAGCTCAATAAAATGCATATACTGCAAAATGTTCAAAATTTATTGCTCCTGCATTTTTTTTCGCTTACGTGACACCATTTATAAGCTTACTTAGTGTTGTAAATACCTTTGTTCATACAAGTAGGATAATACCTTTGGTTGAGCTTACACTTTCAAACAAAATGTCAAATCGGAGTTCGTTTGGTTTCCTCTTCAACGCGTATGAATTTTATTGCATCAGCTGCAATGATGTTACCGATTTCGGCGACTTGAAGAAAGCTGCATTTTCGCGGTAAGACACTGCAAAAAATTCTTTAGGAAATTGCACGGGTTTTCAAATTTTATGCTCGACTCAGCGAATTATCTGAATTTCACATTAAAGTTACCTTAATCTTTTTTGCAATACAATATTGAAAAAGGTTCCTAGTGAATCACTCGAGGTTAGAAATTTTTTTCTTACAACGTTTGACTAAATTGAATGAACTGACATGATTCTGCGTATCTTCATACGTTTCTGGGCTTAAAATACTGTCGATGAGGTTATTGAGGATGCAAAAAATGATGAAAAAAAGCTTTCCTTTGCTGTCAAAATTAAGATGCGCATGCAAAAACATATTTCAGAATCAAGTTTCTTACAGGTGGGTGAGCTGACCATTTCAGCTCTTTCAATCAGAAAACGAATAATCATAGATGATATTAAATGACTATTTTTGACTTGAAGACCATGAAATAATGGTTTGCACGCCTTCTAAAGTGCGAATTTACCAAGCTTAATAAGTACAGTAAGTGGGACATATGCGGTTACCGGGAGCACTTCATGCGACGTAACAAGCAGAAGATAAATAAGAACCTCTTCTCTTATGTGCTCTTATTTTGTTTCTGCATTCTGCCATTCGATTTTACTGTATCTTTGCCTATGCACATACGAACAGTATATAGGGCTGGAGCGATCTGTAAGGTAAGCCTTTCTTACTGTAAAGACTTCCAAAACGCTTTTCCCTTTGGGCAGAAAGGCCAGTCACGAAAGGCAAAGCCTTTAGTCCCACTTTCCTTTTCCATAGCACCCCAAAAAAAGCGGCAAGTTATACGGTGAAGGTCATCTAAATTCTTTTTCGAACCTGAATTTGGTTGATCAAAACACGTCACTGATATATGGATAATCGATCCAAGAAGGCATTGCACAGAGCGTCTTTCGACTAAATAAATCGATGGGACTTGTTTTCTAAAAAAAGAAAAGGTACCAACTATCGTAGATTCTGACGGACGGCAAGTCATCGACTCGAATGTGAATTATGATGATATTTCAACTTTATTCTTTTTTTGGAATCTTGTGATTCATCAAGTTCTGCCTGGTTACATAATTTTTACATTTTTCTCCAGTCTGTACAACAGTCGAAAAAATAGTACACGTCAGGAGTATCAGTCCTATCAGTATATTCAAAATTATCTCCACACAGCCTCAGTCGACTGGGATGTACAGGAAATTGTGATGCTTTTTTCACTTGTATTTTTGTTGTACCGTAGGATTCTTTATGCTATTCGTGGAAATTTTTTTAGATTTTTCTGAATTGTATACAAGAGTGGGGAAAAAATCGTAACCTTTACGAGCATCAATCCTTTGCATATTATGCCAAATTATTTCCGCTTCAGCCTCGATAGACTGGGATGTAAATTACGACGATTTCTCAACCATAATTTTTTTTAACCTTGCAATTCATAAACTTTTTGGTGGGTACAGATTTTTAAAGAAGATTTTTCCGAAGTCTACACAAGAGTAGAAAAAAAAAGCGTCTGGAGCATCAGTCCTGGAATAATTGTATGGTGAATTATATCCTTTTCAGTCGCCATTTCTAGTGTTATCTGAACCCTCATAAATTCTGGGCACTCGACTTGCGTGGTAGAAATTGATTTAACCTAGAGAGCATTTCTAAAAGAGATTAGTTTTGTGCAATAATGGGAAGTTGTATCTTCGGTGGAAGGAAAGTTCGCATTGAAGTATTGTCGATCATTTTTGATCCAGCTTAGCAGCTAGACATTCCATTCGGAAAGAATGACATTTCTGAAGGTTTTGCGAAAAGGGAAACCCGTCTTTCCGGTCAGTGCTTTCCGTTTCGGAAATCAGGGTGAAAGGAAAAGGTATCGTGGGGTTTTTTTTGTGGCAAGTTATACGGTGAAGGTCATCTAAATTCTTTTTCGAACCTGAATTTGGTTGATCAAAACACGTCACAGATATATGGATAATCGATCGAAGAAGGCATTGCACAGAGCGTCTTTCGACTAAATAAATCGATGGGACTTGTTTTCTAAAAAAAGGAAGGTACCAACTATCGTAGATTCTGACGGACGGCAAGCCATCGACTCGAATGTGAATTATGATGATATTTAAACTTCATTCCTTTTTTTTTGGAATCTTGTGATTCATCAAGTTCTGCCTGGTAACATAATTTTTACATTTGTCTCAAGTCTGTACAAGAGTAAAAAAAAAATAGTACACGTCAGGAGTATCAGTCCTATCAGTATATACAAAATTATCTCCACACAGCCTCAGTCGACTGGGATGTACAGGAAATTGTGATGCTTTTTTCACTTGTATTTTTGTTGTACCTTAGGATTCTTTAAGTTATTCGTGGGAATTTTTTTTATTTTTCTGAATTGTATACAAGAGTGGGGAAAAATCGTAACCGTTACGAGCATCAATCCTTTGCATTTTATGCCAAATTATTTCCGCTTCAGCCTCAATAGAGTGGGATGTAAATTACGACGATTTCTCAACCATAATTTGTTTTAACCTTGCGATTCATAAAATTTTTGGTGGGTACAGATTTTGAAAGAAGATTTTTCCGAAGTCTACACAAGAGTAGAAAAAAAAGCGTCTTGAGCATCATTCTTCGAATAATTTTATGGTAAATTATATCCTTTTTATCAGTCGCCATTTCTACTCTTATCTGAACCCTTACAAATTATGGGCACTCGACTTGCGTGGGAGAAATTGATTTAACCTAGAGAGCATTTCTAAAAGAGATTAGTTTTGTGCAATAATGGGAAGTTGTATCTTCGGTGGAAGGAAAGTTCGCATTGAAGTATTGTCGATCATTTTTGATCCAGCTTAGCCCCGAGTTGATCCGCCTGCAGAATTTCCCTGGTCTAGGAATGCGGAAATTATGAGGCATTTCTGTTAAGCCCGTATATAGAAGAGGATAACAACCAGCAATATCCATGAAAGGAAGAAGTCTTCGTATTTTCTGTCTCCAGCAGTGAGTGCTGTGAAGCATCCCCAGTATTTTACCATTTCCAGGACCCTCGTGTTTATAGATTTTTAAAGATGGAATTTAAGTTCCTCTTGAGCAGAAATATTCCATGACGAGACACGCGTTCTTGCAAATAAAATGAGAGAAATTTCAACAAAGATAAGTCAGTCCTATTAATCCAATTATAATTATCAATCATTGACTGGAATTTAGTTTTAAAACAATCGCCACGTCAAAGAAGAGAGTTTTTTCATTTTTTATTTTTTTAAGGGATTCCAATAATAGGATCTTTCCTCGTTATTTCCTCTCAAACCTCTTGTCACTTTTCTTCAACGAGCTTCTCAACAAAAAAGGCTAGATTTTATTACGAAAAGTTTTACTGATTTTCTCAACCATTCCTTAAATACTAATGTATAAAACGCTCGAATAGTTCCTGATTTACTTTTGACTGCTATGATAACTGTATTTTCCAGAAATTTTCCACATTTGGCACATCAAGACTTTAGTTTTTCATATTAAAAGTTCAATTGTTGTAAATTTTCCTCATCATTCCCTTTTTGTCATCCTCTCATTCAATTTTGGTCAGGATAAAAGAAATTCTTGATTCAGAAACAGACATTCATCACATTTTTCTCCATACAATCATGACACGCATTCAAGCAGTTTCTCAGAAGAAAATCTAGCAGAGATGCAAATTATTTCCCGTTTTCGAATCAAAATGATACACGCAATTTTATTTTATTTATCGCAAATATCAGGAATAGCACATTCGTCTATTTTATCTGTACACCTCATGCTTCAAGAATTGTTTTTTTTTTTTTTTACTATTGGATGTATAATTTTCTAGCATTTTTCTCATTCACGTTCTGCCATCCTCTCATTCAATTCTGGCCAAGATAGAAATAAATTATAGATTCATAAACAGAAAATCACCTTTTTCTACAGCATGTATGCGTATAATATTGTATTTTCTTCTTTCGACGCATCTATAACAGAGATACAAATGATTTTCTGTGTTTGGAACCCAACGATACGAGCAATTTTATTTTCTTTCTCACATATATCAGGAAAAGTATTGCCGTTTATTTTCTCCTCGCACATCATTCTGCCACGCTCCAACCCGTCGTTTTTATTTTTATTTTTATTTTTTCAAAGTGCGCAGGACTGTAACAAACGCCTCTGTTTCGTAAATTCAGAATTCCAGGCCTTTTTCTCTGAATCTTGTTCCGCGAAATGAGCGAAATAGATGAAAGTTGGAAAGTGTTCCTGGGGACGTGACAACCATCTCGGGCGATGATCTCTATCTATCTATCGCTCGGAAAAGGGAGACGACGAACGGGGCGAAAATTTACGACCGTCCCCGCGAATGGATTGCGTGTCGTCCGCGGTAAAGGAAAAAAAAAAGGGAAATATGAGCTTTCATCATCGCATGACGACGTGGACGTGGAAGTGGCACGCGAGACCCGTCGGGGTTGCTCGGGATTATTTTCATCACTTCTCTGCATTTCCTGCAACCTTCGCTTGAAAAGAATAATATACGACGACAACAAAAATTTTTTTTTATGTTTGCCAAGAAAAAAAGCTCAGAGACGATCGTTTTTAAGTTTGAAGCGATTTGATGGACTGCAAGTTGGAAAATAAAGAATTTAAAGGTTAAAATCGCGTTATGACGAACTCCAAGGTACTTCGGAAGAAAATTTGGTTTAACGAGATTCATGCTGGTTATTTGCGCATGTATAGGACTGAAATTCCGTGGGAAACAGGTATTTGTTGATGTAAAGTAGTTCCACGACAGATTTCAGAGAAATATCGAACATTTTCAACTTATCTTGATGCAATAAAAGAGAAAATCCAAAATGTGCAAAACAATTCTCATAGTTTAGAATTTCCAGTTTATCAAGTTTCCATAAAATATATTTATCTTACTGAAGTATAAGCTGAAACAAAGAAGGAAACACTAAGGTAAGAAGAGCGTTTATTCAGGAAGAACTGTATGTTTCCTGACTTGTAGGAGTATCCTTCCAATAAGCGTGCTTTTTTTTTAAATTAGCCATGTCTAAACCGCAGAATAATATTGAATCAAGTTTTATCAGAGCTTCATCTAGTTCTTATAGTTATAATGCTAAATTGTATGCTCAAACGGATTAGTGCTCATATTTCTGAAGGGGTTTTTCACATATTCACTATTTCGGTTCTCCCATATTTTCCCAATTAGTAGAACTTTCTATGGCCCATGATGCACATACAATAATGAGGCATAAATTCGTTTAACTGAGATAATAGAGGAAAATGAATTCGTTAAAATTAAATTTTTCTGAAGTTGTGCCGAAAAAGAAACGGCGAGAAGAAATTTCGTTGTGATGAAAAATTCGTTGGAACGGGATTTTACTGTAAATTTGATCACATATAAATATCTGCAATCGTCGGAAAGTGTGCACTATGTCAATTTCGTTGCCACAACATAGATGGCGCATTGGTTTGGATATTTTTGTTAAATAGGACGCGCGGAGCTTCTTGGAAGAACAGGGAGTGTCAATCTTTATTACGCGATATTTCCCGACCCTCCCATGAACTATTTGAAGAAGAAGAAAAAAACAGTATTACTGTATATGGAAAATACCAGAATAAAATCACAAGTATCGCTGCTCTTTCCGCAGACAATCCAATCTGTTTGTTGAAAATGCTGGTATCAGTTGTCAAAATTCGGAATATTTGCGCGTTCGCAGACGAAAGTTCATGCAGCCAAAATTTCAAAACGATTATACGTACTCGATAAAAACAATACCTCGAGCATAAAATGCTTGTTCATGAAATATTTGATTTTATATGGGTGGACCCATGAACCGAAAAGTCTTTGACGCCGCTTTTCTCGCAAATTTTTTTTTTTTCATGCAGCTCCGGAAGTGCTGAGCAAAGAGGACATCACACCTCAAGCAGATGTGTGGAGCATAGGTGTACTGGCGTACATCCTGTTGTCAGGAGTGTCGCCGTTCCGCGGCGCCACCGACCAAGAGACCCGCACCAACATCAATTTCGCTCGCTACCGTTTCGAGCACCTCTACCGAGAAATCACTCAGGAGGCGTCACGTTTCCTCATGCTCATCTTCAAGAGACACGCAGTGTAAGTTGATCATGTTTTTTTTCGCTTAAAAGTGAGAATTCTTGGCATTTTCGGAGCGTAGCCTTTGGCCGTGTTTGTGCGCATGTTGCCCGGAAGAATTCAGCGATCAATTCAAGTCCATAGATAGTTTTAAGTTGATTTAAGCCCACTTATAGCATGGAAACTCTTGAACTTATTTTTGCAGTGTTGTTTGTAGTGCTTATTGTTGGATTTACTGGAAGAGTTCAGGGATCAATTGTATCCTATGCCATTTTGAATTAATTTTATAATAGAGCTCTTGACATTATGCAGCAGATTTTGCATTTTTTTCATATCGCCCGGAAAAGTTCGGCAATCAATTTTAGCACAGGCTGTTTCCGTTTAACTTTCGTCCACTTAGCCGGAGATTTATCGGCATGAAGCAGATTTTTCCGTGATTTTTTTTTCGTATTCTCCGGGAGAGTTTAGTGATAAATTTAGCCTATTCCTAGCTAAATTCATTTTATTCAACTGCTTGACTAAAAATTAACGATCAATTTTTGCTCATACCACTCGAAGGTAATGTTTTCGCTATTGAATATTCATGACAGGATGCAGTACATTTTGCTGTGTGTTTTTTTTTAAAGCTTACCGGCAGAAGATTCAAGCGAAACCATTTTCCGAAGTTTGTGATCAAAGTGTCAAGGGTCCTCAGGATTTATTCTACATTTTTTTTTTGCATCTGTAAAATCATTTTTTTCACGCTTAGAAAGGAATGCTTTATCCACACACGAAAAAAACCGCAGCTTGTCTCAAATTTTTCGAAAAAAAAAGAAACGCTTCACAATAATCAATCTTGCAAGTTACTGCTTTTCGGTTCGTTTCAATGTGATAATGCAGCTTAATCTTCGCTGAATTTTATTTGCTTAGAAAGTGTGGCATCTTCAGCATATATAAAGATGCAGGCAGCAACAGATCAGATCTTTCCAAATAAATTATGTGCAGGTTTTGTCGATCGAAACCTGCACGATGAGCCCTGACTGAATCTTTTGCGTGCATTTTTTGTGTACATTCGAGGGTTGTCCCAGTTTTGCTCGTGGATAAATATTTTTCCGACAAGTGAAAATCTGAAAGAAATGTTGCAGCTGCCTAAAGCATCATTTGGAAAATCTGTGAAGAATCTTCAGATTTCTACCAATTTTAATACAGTACTGTAATTTGTAATCATGTGCGGAAGAGGAACAACCCTTGTATATATATAGAGCCCATTAAAAACTGTTGGTGCTGTGCAGGAAACAGAGATGATAAATGATGTAGTGGACGATAATCCAGTTAAGATAGTGACTCAGACTCCGGCTTATACATCAGGATCCTTGACACATGCTTTTCCTCTTTCTTTTACCCGAGAAAATGCACATGCTTAATCTAAGAATGTCCCTGCTTTATAAAAGACGTTTCACGAGAATTAGGCTTATGCACTAATTATTCTTGCAAGAACTGGGACTTCTTGAAAATTTCGTTGGGTTTAACATAGTTTTGAAAATTTTGCGGTGATATTTTTTATTGAGTGCTTTTTGTACGAAGGGAAATATGCCTTAAGATTCGAGATAAAAATGTTTTGAAAAAGATTGCCAAATATATTCAACGCCTATGTACAGGTGGACTCTCCATATACTGTACAGCGATCTCGTCTACAAATAAATTTCTGCATACAAAATTCTATTCGATCCCATAGGGCTCTCTGCTCATTTTCCACTGGTTTTCAACCACGATTTCTTTTTGGTACCTTGAGTTTTGATGTAGAAGAGAGAGAGAGAGCCCACGCGATTTATCGGATTTTAAATGATGCAGACGAGAAAAAAAATCTTTTGAAACCTTTGTAATGGGTTTCAGAATTTTATTAAATCTGACGAGTGGAATGCAATTTCAAGATGCAGAAGATTTGTGAGAATATTTGTGTCTCGTTTCATTACTCGATTTATTCCCCGCCTCCTGAAAAATATTTAATTGACGAACTTAATTCCAACAATTGAATCTTGAAACAATTTTAATTTCGGAGATAACTTGATGAACTACGGCTTCTGGCAATAATTTATTTTCTCCTGATCTCATCATAGGAATTAAACGTAATTTTGAAAGACGATTTCATGTCCTTGATGCTCGAAATGTTGTGCATATATTACGCCAGCTAAAATATCCACTGAATGATTCACCCGTGAACATCACTCGGTTAAATTTTTGATCCCGGATTCTCGTCTATTTCTTTCCATTTTTATTTTCACAATGCACGCGATCATGCTGAGCAACAATATATGTTCGTCAGCTGTTTCCCTTGCCCAAAGGTTCACAAGCATTTATTAATTTTTTTCTCTGGCATTTTCCCCTATTTTTCGTTACAGGAAACGACCGGATGTTGAAGAGTGTCTGGAACACCGTTGGCTCCAGTGCACGGAATACATGATCAAGAAGCGAGAACGAGCTGTCTTCAACAGCAAGCAACTCAAGGTGAATATTTCATGAGAAGAAGCATGTTCGTAAGACGGAGTATTTACGGTTTCCTTTTTTTATGTTTCGTGCAAATAATTCTCCCAAAATTTTTCTCTCCAGCAAGGAAGAGACTTCGGGAATAGGTTGGAAATGGGGCACTGTTTTTTTGTCCTAACGTATTAAATCCAGTTGATCCGTTTTTGTTTTTTTCGGAAGGAGAAGTTTCAACGCTTTTAACGGTAGAATCCTCTGAGCAGCCTTCTTAGGAGAAAAGAGGATTTCTGAATTGCGTCGTAAAATGGGCACCAGGAAATAATTAATTCAAGTTACAATGCTTCCTATTGTGTTAACCAAGCCATCCTGAATGTAATCTGGAATTTCCGGCTCTTCGCTATTTTTTTCAACAACAAAAATAAGGATGGTGCAGCTTTTACGCAAAAATGCAGCCCGAAATTCGCATTAAAAATTACACCGAGGGCGACAATGAAAAGTATACCAATGCAGAATTTAAATATAGATAAAACCTAAATGGTTTGAGCTATTTCATTTCTTTTTTGACCGTCAGAACGTGCTCATTTCGCCGTAATGTGGATTTAACTTTCCCTTTTGGTAACGCTGCTGGCGAAAAAATTCGGCTAAAAGTCAAGAACAAGTAAACCCTCAGAATATGTAGACATTTAAAAAGCCGTTAACTGTAGTTTGGCTGGACTGTTCTTAAGTCAAGCCACGCGGAACTAGGACGACCTTCGAGAGTACCCTTCCACCTTTTTNAAAAAAGTTGTTTACATCCCTTCAAATTTTTGATCCAAAATAGTTCATCTTTTTCAGCGCTCGGAAAAAAAATTTCCAATTACCCTGGCGAAAAAAGGAAACTGGCCTGTTCATGGAAATGGAGTTTGTCTAACGCACACCGTCTTCATCGGAGACGACGCAGGGAAGAAATATTAATCTCAGCAGGGGTTTTCTCAAGGTTTATCCTCTCCTTGATCTCGAGAGAATAAAGAAAGAGAGATAGCGAGGCAAAAAAAAAATATCCTGCTGGGGCCGCATTTTGTGTTCGTGACGGGTTTGCAAACATTGGGTTTAGTCACGATGCCCCTCATTGAACCAACCGGGAAAACGAGGCGGGGAAAATGAAATGATTTTTACCAGTATACGAGTATATGCTGGATCCTGTTTTACTGGATGTCAGCATGCGAAAAGTCGAGCATAAAAAAAGAGAAAACTGCTTTTTCCGTATACTCTGACCCTAGACTTTAGCTCTAGAATGAACCATACGACGACAGCACTCTAAACACCCAACGTCCCAAATCCATATAGTGTTTATAAGAAAAGGAACTTTTGCTACTCGACATTAGCCTTTGTTTTTAAATTTTCAATTAATATGTGCCCATTTATCCTACTTTATATTCCGGTGATAAGGCTTCCGACTTGGAATGTAGAAATGTAACGTACGTAGACCTGAAAATTTTCCTGTGCTTGTCCTTTTTTTCAATTTTAGATGTTAAAAATAATGAAAATAAAGGTCTAAATTTTTGACTGAGAGCTCAATTTTTCACTTTGATGCGAATTTTTGAGAAATGATTTTTGATTTGAGAACAGTGACGGGATAATGACTTGACTGAGTTTTTCTTGTTTCCGAATCATTTGGAGAACTATTTTATACCTTACTGTTCAAATAATTTCTTCTCACGCAATAACTTTTTCAAAGTCCGAGTGATGCTTTGTGATGATAATTTCGCAACACGTACATTTTTTAGATTTCAGCCTTTTCAATGTTTGCTGAATCTTTTTTTGAATAAGGTACGCAAATGCACAGGTTTGATTGAAATCTGAAGTCGAAATCATTCTGTGTTTATTCGTGAGGATTTTTTCATGCACGGCATATCGGGGAAAATTTTGCGCTGTTATTTCAGTCCCAGTTGATTTCTGCCGAGATTTACATGGAATCCTAATCCTGCTGGAGTATAAGGGATGTATGAAAAAGTATATCGTTGATGGCGGGCTTTATGGGACTCGTTCATTTTTACCAGCGAGTACGTGAACACAGTCCTCGTTACAAAAAGACGACGAAAAGTACGAAAGCAACCTGTCACTTTTTACACGAAATTTAAAAAACAGAATTTATGGCTACCTCCTCGCACTCAAAAAGGTCTTGTTCGTCGCGAGATATTTTTTTTTTTTCATTTGAAGCGATAGCGAATTGTTTTTTGCTATGGCAAGGTACGGAAAGGGCTTTTAAATCGTGGGTTACGCAAGAGTTTCGTGGAATTCTAAGAATACGACGCGATGTGTGAACGTTTAACGGGAATTTTTCGCAATCCCTGAGAAATAAAGCTTGGCGAACGTTTCAAATAAATGCTTTGTAATGATGGATTCGTTTTTTATGCGTTGCAGAAAATTCTAGAAAGCATCTGTAATCATTCGCTTCGCTTCTTTGGCATCAAATTTGTAACAAGGGTCTGCTAGGAAATTTTGCAGCAGATTGAGCGAATCATTATCTGTGCGAAAAGTGAAATTTTCCCTGCATTTTACGTGATATTTGCAAGAAATTTTCTTCGTGATGATACTACTCATCCGCGCTTATATATATATATTTTTTTTTTGCGAACAGGTCACTTGAGACTGGAATATAGGAAAAAGAAACTGTGGAACAAGTATTCGTACGTGACCCAAGAATTTTAAGCTATTGGATTTTCGGAAATTCCTGCGTATTAAACATAACGAAACGCGTTCGCTCCGGCGTTCACTCTTTCTCCCCATTTATTTTACAAACTCTGGTTAACATCAGGAA